GTGTGTGTGTGTGTGTGTGTGTGTGTGTGTGTGTGTGTGTGTGTGAGAGAGAGAGAGAGAGAGAGAGAGAGAGAGAGAGAGAGAGAGAGAGAATGCATACTGATGCTCATCGGGGATTTTTGCCTGGTAGGACCGAACACTTCATGTATAGTTGGTCCATGGTTTTACAGTTAGGTCACTGAAAATACTTAAAGAAGGCAGCCTTTTGCACCCCGATAGTATACACCCCACAAGTTCAATGGAACAGGCTTGGTGTTGTATTGCAACGAAAGACATTCCCCATATGTGTCATTCGCTATGCCTCAGTATAGTCAGTACAGCGTGCACCCACAGAACCAAAACTGAACACACCACCTGTACTGTCTGAATACCACATGCCTTCAGAGTGCTGATCAAACTCTCATGTCCCATGTCTGAGACCAGAAGACAGAGTCTACGTGGTCTGTTTCCGAACAGATCTATTGTGAAATGACTGAGCTAACGAGGGTTTGCTGTACTAACCCCCTTTTCACTGGTTTCCAGTGTTTTCATTCAGATTAAAAAAAAATCAGACTTCAAGCACTCTCTGAACCACTCGTTTTTCGTGGTACTGCTTGTGGCTGCCGTTAGGTTACAGCTAATATTTTCTCCAACACACCCAGCATTCGAGCTGAGCGAAGAATGGATTGCCATTGTTGATGATATAAGCCTCAAGGTTTGGCTTCCAAACTTATTCTGCAGACCTTTCACCCTTGACCCTGCAAACATTGTCACTCTCTATCCGAAGGTGCAGCTGCTGAAGTTGCAATAATGTGGACAACAAACACAATATTGAGGCAATGATGGGACTTTGGACCTGGTTTCCAGCTCAGCCAAAGCTGGGTAAGCTCTCCGGGTTGGTTGTGGAGAGATTCCCGGCCTTCGAGCATCTGTTATATTAAAAGCTTCAAAAAATGGGGGGTGGGGGGGGGGGGGGAGGTACACCTTGGCAAGCGCCACAGCAACTGCATCCAGTTTGCGGCACTTGTCAAACATAGCCGAAACTGTGCAATGGTCTCTCACTGACGTGCATGTGATTCGCATAGTGATTTGCTGTGTTTTAAGTGTGCATGTGGATGGGTCGGGTAGCTTACCTGTAGGTATTGGTGGTCGAGGGCCTGAATACAGACCAGTAGGTTGTCGAGGTTCGGGGGGCCTGTGGGTAGATTTCAGTGTGCTATGATTTTCCCGCCGAAAGGAGGGAACACCCCGTAGGCCTAGTGCACCCAAGTGAGGCAGGTAGGGGCTGGAAGTGCTCCGCCAAGAGGTACTGAAGGCCGGGAAGCAATGTATATCATTCGGTGCAATGAGCAGTCCTTTTTTTCATGCGGCAGCCAAGCTCTGCTCCACCAAGAGGGAGAAGCGGGGGAGCTCCTGGAGGGAAGTGGGTGGAGCTGGAGGGTGATGAAGAAGACTTCCATGGCTATGGAGGGTTTAATAGAGAGGAGGTAGAAGTAGTCCTAGTCCATGTAGGTGAGGGAGGAGGACCTCTAGCCGGGCTATGGAGGTGTAGTAGAGGTAAAAGGAGGAGAAAGGAGGTGGGAATCGGGAAGGAGACTCACCTTTGGCAATGTTGGACTTGCATCCTCATCTCCAAGGTTGGCGCTGCATCAGGGAGGCCCCATCCAGTGGGTTATGGACTCCATCCGGAGGTGTAGGTGTGGTGGTAGATGCTGGAGGTGGCATATTGAAAGGATTCACGCTGAAGACACCCAGTCCCGGTCCCAGGGTCCCGACAAGTCCCAAGTCCCAGGGCCGTCCATTAGGGTAGGCCGCAGGGTCTAGACTCTAGAGACTGAAACGTTGTAGGTTGGTAGGTGTCGGTACGGAAACTCTGTAGGTCGGTAGGAGTCCGTCCGGTACCCGACAAGAAAAGTCCAGAAGCGTCCAGGCCAGTCCGACAGTCCCAAGCCCAAGTTTGCAGCATGTCCCAGGAAAGTCTGGAAGCTACCGGACCGACAAAATATTTGCAGCAGACAGGCCGCTGCCAACCGGTACCTGTCTGAAGCAGGCCAAGGCAAGGCAAGCCAAACGAAGCCAAGTCCTATGTTTAGCTGCTACAGTGCAGCAGCTCATCACTTGTTCAGTTTGCGAGATGCAGAAGCGGTGCTGCTGCTTTTGCGTGAAGGCTACTTGGGCACTGTGCGCCCAAAGGAGGAGAGGGCGCTTGTGAGATACTCCATAGTTAGGCTGGAGGTAGCACAGGAGGTTGGTGGCCATAGCCGCCAAGGTGAAAGCTTACCTGAGTGGGGGTATCCAGGGTGACGATCCAGGG